GTTTCCTGACCACACTGGATCATGGCCTCTTTTGACTCTATGGCTCCCACTCAACCCAGGCGCCACCCACATGGCTACACAGCCTTCTAGAGGTCCACAAGACTTCAGCCAGAGAGAACTCATACAGCCCTGTGGGCAACTTCCTATTGCCCATGTGGTTAAGATTCAAGTCCTTAAGTCCCATAAGGCCTTTGTCTGACTCTCCAGCCTGATCTGAGTGCTGTTCTCCCAACTCCTCTCTCCACATTGCAGGCCCATCCCTGAGGGTGTCTAGCCCACGCTCTGCCCCCAACGGATCCACTGCCACACTGTATATTCATCTGTCATCTCATTTTCTAGATGCCGAGACTACCTGCGTGTAGATGGTCCTCCCTAAAAGATCATGGGCTCCAAGGTGGGGGTGTTGGACATCTTGGCCACATCTAAGACACTGGGATGGGCAGTGTGCCTGTCAACTAACATATTCATTCTGGTGTCTTCAGGATGAAGTGAGGTTAGGAGATAAAGATGTGGTGTGAAGTGAGTGGCCCTCCTGCTCAGCATCCTTGCTGGGCCTGGAGAATGAGGGACAAACACAGATCAACTAGGATGCAGTTATAGGTTCAAATACCACAGTGTCCTAACATGACACCTACCCAGGCCCTGGGCACCCACAGAGCACAGACACTGGTCCCTGGCCCAGCAGCCCCCAAAGCTAGGCACACTTTCCTGGTAGGTGGACTCCTGGCCAGCTGCAAAGGAGTAAGTATCCCAGGAGCCTAGCCTGAGCCCTGGTCTGGGTGTGTGTGTGTGGGGGGGGGGGACGGACTGCACACACCCTTGACTGAGCCTCACACCTATGTGCCCTGAGATGCAGGGCCAACAGGCCATGTGTCCCCAGCCCAGAGACATCACTGTCTATGTGGGTGCTCTCAAAGGACAGAGGAAAGGCCAGGGGAGTTCAGCGCCAAGTGGGTGACTCAAAGCTGCAGGTGTGGTTGAAGCACCATGGGGTATATGTAGAAAGTGATCTCTGCCAGCAAGGCCAGTCAGCATGCCCTACCAAAGCAGGGGGAAAAAAAAAACCCCACCAGAGCAGCACCACACAGAGCTTTGTGGTGGGTCCAGAGGCTGCAGTGTGTTTCCAAGAACAAAATGATTCTTCCATTCATTTCATAGGGAGGCAAGCCTGGCTTAAATCTGGCTAATATCAGGATAAAAAAAGACAGGAAAAACCAAGAGAGGCATATGCTTTGTAGATTAGTAAGGCATGTTTATAAATGGGAAGGGGTGAGGGGGAAGAAAAGAAGAGGAGCTAGGGAGAGGGAGGGAGGGAGAAAGGAGAGGGGACTCACCAGAGGACAGTGACAGAGCATGGCACCTACTGGCTGGCCTATAATGATGCCCAAGGCTCTGACCAATCCACCCCAACCCATTGAGCTTCCTAATCCATGCTGCCCCTCCATGACCACGTGCCCTCAGGACCAGGACTCCATACTCACCCTAGAGGCTCTGGACCCTCAAGGTTGACTGAGCCTGGGAGAAAGGAGGGGCGAGAAAGGACGGAGAGGGACCGTCAGGACTGAGCGGCACACAGCCTAGGGAGGCGGTTTCCCCACTGCTCGGGAGCAGGAAGTACTGGGAAGGAGCTGGGCTGGTAGAATGGCCAAAGTCTCCTAGGAAGGAGGCATTCTCATACAAACACACCCAACCTGCCCTTCTGGATCTGCCAGGTCCACCCTCATCCCTTCCTGCCATGGAAGGTACAGACTGCACAGCAGGCACCGTGTGGCCCTGGACGCCATGGAAGACAAGCCCTGCTGAGATGCCTCAGCTTTCCGGGGAAGCCTGTTGCTCCCACCAGGGTTGCCTGACATACCAGATGGCTTATAAACGGCAGAAATGTATCTAACACTCTTGGAGGTTGCCAATGCTAAAGCAAGGTCTTGGAGACCCAGTGGGCCGGTTCATGGCTGGTCATCTTGCTGCAGCCTCATATAGTGGAGAGGTAAGGAGGTTCTCTAAGGTCCCTTTTATAATGAGGACACTGTATTAGTTACTTTTCTCATTGCTGTGATAAAATACCCGATTTAGACCAACCAAAGGAAGGGTGGGTTTATTTTGGTTCATGGTGGGAAGGTATGACAATGGGAGAGCATGGCAATGAGGCGGCGAGCTGGTCACACTGCATCTGTAGTCGGAAGCAGATTCTGATAGTCTGCTTTTGTTCATGGGCCCCCAGCTGATGGGATGATGCGCCTATATTCACGCTGGGTCTGCTCACTTCAGTTAATCTTCTGAAAACAGACAAGCTCGTGGTGTTCCCGGGGGAGTCTAAATGCTGCCAGATTGACAACCAAGACCGTGTCAAGCCCTCAGGCCTGTTCCCACCCTGGTTCAGGTAGTCGTGCAGGCTAGGCAACCGTGGGAACGGCCACTACAGAGCTTGGCATACTCAGCGTGGTGGGATCCTGACCTAAACATAAACACTAGAACCCCTCATGCAGTTTCTACCTGTGTCCAAATTACCTTCCCAGGGTGCCAACTAAGGGAGGGCAGACTTTCCGATCCCGGTGGTGCCCCCATAGCCTTGGAGTGCCACCCCCTCCCCGAGTCCACAGTGGCCTATGTTCACCCTTCTAAACCAGGCTGTCCTGAGAAGTAACAGCCCAATGGCTGTTCCTCTAGTCCCTGCCTGAGCTAGAAACCTGGAACTCCTCAGAACATGGCAGGCAGGCAGTAATCTAGCTGAGATGGCCCCATGATCCTGAAGAGTGGGCCACAGCTTAAGTGCGCCTCCTGGAGGTCATTAGGGTTAAACTCACTGAGGAGCATCAGCCTGGTACTACGGCGTCCCCAAAAGGTCTCCCTCAAGAGCCATGGCAAACTGGCTGGTTGTGACACCGGTGAGAGGCACAGTAACCATGGAACTCTGGGCAAGGGTGTGGGGACCCAGATGCCTCCAACCCCTAGGCAGATGTCTGACACCTCTAGCAGCTGGGAAAAGCCCACTGGGTAGAGGCTTGGCTATGTTACTTGGGGCAGCCTGAGGGGACAGGCACTCCAGGGGCCTTTCCTGTCGGCTGTCAGGTAGAAGAGGCCTTCTAAGCTGTCCCTCTGAGGTCACTACCAAAACAGACACTGTTGATGGGGGAAGGAACAGCAAATAATAAACATGCTGGCTCCGGGAGCAGTTGGAGGGGACCCCTGGGAAGGGCTGCTGTGTGCGGCAGATCTTTAGGGTCTACCTTACCTTGGAGGCAGCCTTGCCCAGGTGACAGAACTGCCCAGGCATTTCAGCTCCACAGGGCATGCAGTCAGGCCTCCATCCTTCTAAAGACCCTAATTCCAGGCTGGGGCTGCCCAATGTCCTAGGGAGAGTACTGCTTCTAACCAAACAAGTTACCCCAAATCCTGTTCTGCTGTACTTCTAGAAAAAGGGTTCCAGTCTGAAAAAGCTGACAACCTAGGCTGTGGATCTAGAGTACCCACTACCCTTGGAGAACAAGGACTTGTCCCAGGTAATGGGGGACAGCAGGCCCTGACCAGAGTGACTGTCCCGTCCGATCCAACTGCTGTTTGCTGCTGTTGAATAAGGTGTACATGGGAAGGGGTGTGAGGGTTGACTCAGCACACTGTCCAGGTGAAGAGACGAAAGACGGGTCCCTGGGAAGACAGGCAGGTGGCTGCTGCCCAGCTTTATTAAAGCCCTCAAGTGTTATTTTCTTTCTTTCTTTTTTTTTTTTAATATTAATTTATTTAGAAGAGGGCATCAGATCTCACTACAGATGGTTGTGAGCCACCATGTGGGTGCTGGGAATTGAACTCTGGAAGAGCAGCCAGTGCTCTTAACCTCTGAGCCATCTCTCCAGCCCCATCAAGTGTTATTTTCAAAGGAAGACCAGGTCACATCCTGCCAAGCCCTCGGGCCTACTCCCACCCTAGTTAAGCTAGCAGTCCTGCAGGCCAGGTGATGGTAGAAACTACCCTTATAGGGCTTGGTGAATACCAGGGGTGGTGGGATCCAATTCCAGGGAAGACAAGTCAGATGAGAGCCCTTGTCAGTAAGAGTGGTGCAAAAAATAGCTGCCCAAGGAAGCTGTGGTTTATCAACAGGGGAGGTGTAGAGGGCCAGCAGCCAGACATTTGACCAAGCCAACCAATCAAAGACAGATGCAAGTGTCACAGCTCTGGGGGGAAAGGTATCCTGACTTGTTGGGAAGTCAGGCTATACCTACAGCTGTAAAAGGAGGTATCCTGACTTGTCAGGAAGTCAGGCTATACCTGAAGCTGGGGTCCAGAGGGGGATGGTCTCCTCAAAGATACGGCAATCCTGCTCCTCTCTGAGAGAGCAGTTACAGCTGAGCTCTGCTCAGCTCCCAAGGGAGTTTCCCAACAGAGGTATGTTTCTTCTTGCTCTGGCCCAAGTTATTTCTTCTGCTTCACTCCGTTAAGGAGAAACCCTTGCAGAAATGTAGCAATCTGCTCTGGCTCCAGCAAAAAGTTGTTACTTCTGTTCTGCTCCCATAAGGAAGCTTCCCAGCAGACTCTGCTCTGTGCTGGCAAAGATCTTCACCCAAAACTTTCAAGATTTGGGAAGGAGGAATCCAGAAGAGTGTCTGCCTCTGCCAGGGTGGAAAAGGACAGCTGCCAACTCAACAGGCACAGGGGCTTATATAGGAGCTCTTAGGGGCAGAGTTTTTCCGGGGATATTTTCAGGGAGGGAACTGGTCAGATTTCGATCCCCTTGAGTTTGGACAAGCTCAGATTGGCTAGATTTTGTGCTCAGGGATTGGTTGGTTTCGTGCTCACTTGGCACATCACTGGGACTGAATATCATACTCCAGGTGGGGATTGCAGCTCAGGAAGGCCAAAGTAAGATGCTGAACTATGCCAAAATCTCGTTTTCCATTCCTTACCTCCTCGCCCAGGCTGCCCACCCCATCAGCACCCTCCCAAATGTGCGGTTGACTACCAAGATGCTAATCTGGCCTTGGGCTTTGTGAAACAAGACCAATTCATAAATTACTCAGATTTATTTACAAAGTCATATCCTAAAAATATTTCAAGTAATAAATAGTTTTCAACACTTGTCGCAATCTGCCTGCCTGGTGTAAGGCTTCCGAAGTCAAGAAGGGTATGAGGATGCTGCACAGCCTTCCACAACAGGCCTGGCCTCCAGGTCTCCTGGTCTTCACTGAGGAATGAAGATGTCATTTGGGAGTCTAGCCCCACCCTGCAGCACCCACTGGACCCCAAGATGTCCAGGACAAAGCACCCTACTTTCAGCTGAGGATCCACAGGCAGCCCTCAGAGCTGCGGAGAAGCCCAGGGTAGCGCCCGGCTGGAGATGTGCCCAGATGCTGAGCGCAGGAAGTGGGGGCTGCCCCTGGCCACGAAAGCCCACAGCTGCTCAGTCAGGCTTTCATCACGGCCATGAAGGAGACCTGCAGGGAGAGAAGGAGGGCTTTGGGCCTGCCCTCTGCTCCCCACTGCCCTTCCAAACACCTGAGAACGAGACTCAGCCCCAGCTCCCAAACCCGCCCTCCCCCCACCCCGTCCAGGCTCTGTCTGGTGACTCTTTTATGAGGGGTCATAGCACTTTATATCTCAGACAGAGGCCACTTGCAGCAAGGATCTTGGCAGGAGGGGGATGGGATTAAGACCTGAGACCACCAAGGAGATGTAGGTAGGTGAGCCAAGCTAGGCAAGGGCACCGCATACAAACCTCTTGGAGTAGCTGGCCCAGCATCTCCTGGCTGTGAATGGACTGCCTGTGGAAAGAATGTCAGGTCATCCCCTAAACCTCCTTACACACCTCCCACCAGACCCAGGCCCTACTCCCAGGCTTAGCCCAGAGCAAGGAGTCCCAAAGCCCACAGGCCCACCTCTTGGCTCTGCCAGAAAGGCAGGAGCTTGGGCATGTGGGCCAAGCAGGAGACTCAGATGGAAGACAGTGTTACGGCGCTGACGACCCTGACCCCTCCTGGCCTCCAAGGCCTGGAGCCCTACCTGTCTATTCTGGTTGCTATGGTCACCGTGAAAGTGCCCTCTGTATCTGGCAGGTAGGTGGAGGGCACAACCCTGTAGGTCCCCACTGACAGGAGGCAGAGGCGGCTCACTTCCTGAGCATAGCGATGTGGTACGCAGCTTAGCAGTGGTTCCTGGAGCAGCAGGGAACATGCATTCTGGTCCTCACCATCTGCCGGAACCTGGGCAACAGTGCAATCAGCATGGGGAGGCCTACTCAGGATGGCATGGTTTGCTCTCCCTCTGAACAGCACCAGCTAAGGTACCAGGGTCAGCTGGGGTATCTGATGCTCTCAGTCCTTGAGCTATCAAACCCCTTTGCCAAGGACAAAGCCTTGGAGCCATGCCAATCTTGCCAAAGGCCCTGTCAGAGCTCCAGGTGGCATGACTCAAGACCCCAAGAGTCCAGCTTTTTGCGATGTATTGACACCCCTCAACAGAAATCTTCCTAATGAGAAATTCCTGTTCTCTCCTCCCCACATCAGCTGCATTCCAGGTATACATGTTTCCACCCACCACAATGAATCCTGATGCAGCCCAACACACACTCAGCCAATGTGAGGCCCCAAAATAAACAAAGCCTGATGAGATGGGAAGCATCATTACGTCATCATGGAATCTGTAGCCTATGATCCTTGACCTCGAGCACAGTTTTTTTCTCTTCTCCTATTTCTCCAACTAAAATTTTGCCCAGTGTGTTTCCCGGCCTGTTGTTGGCTAAGAGGTAGAACAGTGAGTAAAGAAGCAACCCTGGGGAGGTTGAGGCTCAGAGCCTTCCCTAGCCTCAACAGCTGGTAGAGACACTGGTTTTGTAAGCAGAGCTCCTGGGCCATCAGGGTCCCCACGCTGAGGCCCCTTGGTGTGGCCTCTCCTCCATTACCTATGGCTACCCTGGGCTGACAGCTTCAAGTTCCTGGAGCATGTGTCCAGAAGTCCTGAGCCACCTCAACCATGCTGGAACCTATCTGTAATCTTCTGGGCTTGGTGACTGGCTGTAGCACCTGACCACCAGGCTATCCTGCTACAGGCAGTAGCCAAGTACAGGTCTCTCTCCCTGGCTGTTCTTCTGGACTCTGAGCCTTTCTGGCAGAAGCCCAGACTTCTGTCCTGATCTACTGCCATAGGACAGCTCTTGCCAGTCCCACCTGGAGCACTGAGTGACACAGGAAAGGACAGGCTATGGGACCTGGTACTGCCATGGCTGTGTGACCACTGTCTGTGGTATGAGTGAGTGAGGCCTCGCTATAGTAACTGCCTTGGACCACATCCACTCAAGGTGAGGCTGGGCTCTGCCCAGAACTCCTGAAGAAGCCCCAGAGCCCAGGGTCAGAGATAGGAGGCATGCACTGGATACAATGCCCGAGACACTGGTGTTCGGAGCCGTGGGCTGCCCCAGATGACCCCGGAGAATAGACCTGGCGAAGAGTGCAAGTGAGTCTTTGAGGCCAGCCAGCTGGACCAACGGGCCCAAATGACAGAACCCAGCTCACCTGAAAGATATGGAAACCAATGGGGTGGAGCTGGCCGTCACCGAGGCGGCAGTGCTGGTGCAGGGTGACGCGGATGTAGCGGGGACCAGCACCCTCAGGAACGGAGAAGGGGAGACAGGGGTTGCAGGGGTAAGAGGCAAAGTTCCTGCTGCCCCCGGCTGTCTGGCCAGCCTTCCAGCAGCCCCGCAGCTGCACGGTCTCCCACTCGCCTGCGGGCAGGGCTGCTCCAGGTGACTTTGTACCCTTGGTGGCTGGCCTGACGGCGCTGTCAGGAGGACAAGTACAGAAGGCACTGGCAGCCTGGTCCAGAGGAACCTGCCCGAGTCCGCCCCTCACAGAGCGCACCCCTGCTCCTCCCCTGGCCTCAGCCCAGGTGAAGGAAGTCAGCTGGCACTGGCTCCTCACCTGAGGGAGATCTTCCCTGTGGAGAAGGCCCGGAGTAAGAACTGCCCTGGCACATCCTTCAAGAAGGTGCTAGGGACGGCCAGGTAGTAGCCCGGGGAGAGCTCACAGCGCAAGTGGACCTCGCGGTCATACGCATGGCATGCAGTGCCAGCCACAGGTGGTGAGGACAGGACTCTGGGCAGGCTGACCTTCCGCTTCTCTACCTGCAGGAACGGATGCAGAGGCTCTGAGGAGAGTCACACCAACACACTGGACCTCTGCCTCCCTGCTCTTCAACGGCTCAGGCAAAGCTCCCAGGAGACAGCCACAGCATCCATCCTTTTCAGCCGGGTGGAGGGGCCAAAGACTCAGGGCTTCCCTCAAAGGTGCAGAACAGACAAATCTAGAACTATGTACAAAAGCCCATGACCAGTGCAGCCTGGGGAGGGCTGGAGAAGGCACTTTCCAGCAACTTTATTACAAAGGACCATGAGGCAGGCCACACTCACAAAGGAAGAATGAACGGTGGTGTGAGCTGTCACCCTCTATATCAAGATACATAAGATTAAAATGTAGCCACTGAGTAAGCAAGTAGGGCTCCTCAGTGACCTGTTCTAGGAAATAGATACGAGTTCATAAAACTGACCAGATGTCTGAGTCTGACAATAAAATAACCCTATACACTTACAGGCTGTAAGGGAGGAGCCAGAGGAAGGCAGCTAGGTGGAGAACACAAGGCAAGCAGCAGCCCTAGGATAAGGGGACACTTCCCTTGGGGGAGATGGGAATTGTAGGGTCAGGCCAGCCTTCACCTCTGGGCTGGGATGGGCTGCATCTGCTGGTATAGCAGGTGCCTGTGGCCAGAGGACATGGGAAAAGGAATCAACGGCCAAAGGATGAGTGCTCCTGGGACCCAGGCCTCCAATACATCTGCCTACCTTTCCACCATGGGGCCAGCAGATGGAGTTACCTTCCAGATGTGCAGGCCCACAGCCTGGTAGTCCTTGCCTGGGAGATTCGCCGGTGCAGGACTGGCACCCACCAGTGCTCGGGTCTGGCCCACTAAGCACCTCCGGGGTCTCTGAAGGACAGCCACACACACCTCACTGGGTTCCAAGAGCCGTAACCAGAACTTGGGGTTGCAGGGAAAGCAGCTGTTGTTCCGGCAGCCTCCAGCCGACTGCCCTATGACCCAGGCGCCAGGCAGTGCCCGTGTGTGACACAGCACCTTCTCTAGTGGGAGAGTACACGAGTCAGCTTGGAGGGGATCTTGATGGCTCTGCCTTCCCCACGAGCAGCAGTCAGCCCACCCTCCGAGAATCCCAGAATCCCACCCATTCCCCTTCCCCAGGTCCTCAGTCAGTCAATCAGGCAGAAAGAGCTGTACCCAGTCACTGGGGTGCCAGCACCTGTGAAAGCTCCTGACTTCACAGAGGAGAATCCACTCCGGCTGGTGGTCCTACCTGTGTAGAGACTCTGTAGGTGGCCAGCCTCTGTGACTGGGTAGCCAATGGTGACCTCGTCAAATTCCCTGAGGAACTCCTCTTCCTCCACCCAGAACTCGCCTTCCTGGAGTTGTGCCAGCAGCTCAGACTCCTCAGCTGGCTCTACCTGGTTCCACCCTTCACCCCTGCAGGCAATCTCATTTCAGTACAAGTTCACAGTGGATTGTCAGGAGGCAAACGGGGGGCGGAGAGCCCCAAGTTGCTGCCAGACCCTGGATGGCCAGTTGCACAGCACACTCCCTTGCTAAATGACCTATAGAAGGGGCCTACTGTGGTCTGGCTGCCCATCAGAACCCCTCCTTCCCAGGGGTCCCCATGCCTAAGAACTTGCCTTCTGAAGGCCATCACACCAGAGCCGGGACGCTCTGGTCTCTGGAGGAGCTGTCATGTTGAGTAGAGCACTGCTCTACTCAGTGGCAGCCCCAGACCCAGGCTGGGTGCAGAGAGTAGTTGGGGTCCAAGAGCCTCAGAGCCCCCAGGCCTCGAGGGGATCCTGGCTTTGTCAGGTCTTAAAACTGAGCTGAGGACTTTACCTGCAGGCCAACATCAAACCCCTACTTATCCTAAAGCCTGGCTAGGCATTTACTATCCTGTGGGTACCCAAGATAAAGCCCCATTAAAAAAAAACAAAACAACTTGTATGATCCCAGGTCTTCAAGGACCTAGACGAAGCAAGGAGGTGTGCACACAGGTGCTGAGTGAGCTCTGCCACAGAACAGCAAGCACTATCCTGGCAGCTGGACACGAGCACAGGCCAGGCCAGATGGCATCGTGGCATGCCCTCAGGGTACCAACCCTTCCTCCCACATGCAGCCCCTCCCGGTACTTACCCCTCTCTCCAGAGGCCCTGCCAACAACGTCGGCCCCAAGGGTTGTGAATGCGCAGCAGGAGGATGCCCCGGCCAGTCCGACTCCACAGCTCCCGAAGATCTGAGACGATGAAGGCATGGAACTCCCCGAGCTCCCTGGCACCTGTGGGGACAGCTGTCGTGTGCAGGACCAGCCTCACCAGTCCCCACACTGGACAGGACATGTCCCTGCTTTCCTGCCTGTAGAAGATGCCTGGGTCTCTTAACCGAGTTAAGGAGCTCTGTTCCCAAACCTAGGCCAGCTACTTGCAGTGTTCACTGGCATTCTGTGCCAGGAAAGGCCCACAGCTGGGCCCTGGCTCACTGCCACCAAGGACTGGTGCTGCACATACTATCCCTTCCTCGGGGCCTCAGTTTACACCATGTGTGTCAGTGCAGGGCCAACTGTCAGGTATGAAACCACTATCACTGTCACTGACATACCCAAACCACCAACAGCTAAAAGAGCCCTCCCCTAGGCGAAGTCAGATGGAGGAGGAACATCTGAACCACAGTCAAGGTTGAGGACTGGAGGTCAAGAGGAATTCTACCTGCCAGAGACCACAGGACAAAGGGCCCGTACAGGAAAGAGCAGAAGTGCTATTTCAGGGAGGGTGGAAGCCAGAAAGAGGGCAGGAGCGCCCGTGTGAGCACAGTTCTATTCCCAAAGGCTCTGCCGGCAGCTGCCGTTCTCGGGGTCCCCCTCCACCCCAGCCCTTGGGGCTTCAGTAGACCCTGCAGCTCTCTGCCAGGAAGAGGGCTCCCCAAAACTAGGAGTATCAAGAGCCAGCCCTCCTACACTCTGGGGCTACCCAGCGTAAGAGTTCTAAGAAGCTGATGGCTAAGGAGGGGGGTTTAGTGGAGCCAGCATGAGCAGCAGTGAACACACACTCTCCTCTTGCCCTCAACCCTAGGATCTGCCTGAGGGGATCCCAGACCAGAGCTCTGCCAACTCTCAGTGCTGGGCTGGCTGGTGTGATTACCAACAAGTCTTGGGTTATTTTGATAGTCATATTTTATTATTTATGTGTGTGTTCACATGTGTGTATGTGGGGGTGTGTGTGCATGTACATACGTGTGTCAGGCCAAAAGACAGTCCTGGTGTTATTCCTCAGGAGCAACACACCTTATTTTTGAGACAGGGTCTCTCACTGGGACCTGGCGCTCAACTAGGCTGGCGGGCCAGCAAGCTCCAGGCATCCCCCTGTCTCCACCTCCTCAGAGCTGGAATTACAAGTCTATGTCACCATGCCTAGCCTTTTACCTGGGTGCTGAGCATCCAACGCAGGTCCTCAGGCTGTGCAGCAAGGACCTTACTGACTGAGCTGCCTCCCTAGCGCCTGACGCTCCGATCTTTGAACCAAAGTTATATTACAGAAAATACTCTAAAATGTGAATGGAAAACTATAAAGGTGTTCACTGCAGTGTTGTTATTAGAAAGTTCTAGTCAGGCATGTAACACTGCCAGTGGTCTCAACACTCACGGGCCAGAGGTAGGACTACCCCGAGTTCAAGAAAGCCTGAAAACCCCGAAACAGAACAGCAACAACAATGAAAAAAGGAAAAAGATCTGAACTATCCAACATTCCTGGAAGGATCAAGAAAACCACAGCAGGTCCAGCACTGGAGGAAGGCACTCCCAAGTTTATGTAATAACATAGAAAACGGTATACAACAAAAACAGAAAAGGCTGTAGACACTGGGGAAAACTCAAAAAGCCCACTAAAAAGTTGTAAGTGGCTTAGAGAGTTTTGTTTGGGTGAGCTTTTCTTTCTTCTTAGTTTTGTACAAACTTTCCTTCATGAACCTTCCTGTGTCAGTGAGATAGAAAATGGCTTTGGACTCTGGCTGGCCACCAGCTGGGCAGGGACGACGGTGTGGTCAGCTTAGACACTTTCTCTACTGCTTCTAAGCTGTCTGGAACAACAGGGGACACGATGCAGGTTCTGCCTTGCTCTAGGTGAAAGGAGCGGTCTAGAACAGATCGCCTCTGTCTGGAGGAGGGATAACAGAACCACACAAACCCAAGACAGCCCCCTCAGGGACAGACTTCCTTTTCTGTAACAAGCTAACGGTAGAGGGGCTGTAGCAACAGACTGTACCTGCTCTGGGGCTGAGCACAGAGCAGCTGATCACACACTGGTCCTTCAGGCGGAGTAGCTGCCGACAAGTCCTTTGCTCCCCGCCACTGGGTCTGTCCTGCTGGCCACTGGCTCCCACTATGTCTTTCAGGCTCCACCTTTCTGCCAGGCTTCCAGTGAGATCCACCAGGGCATCTGCCACCTGCCCCGCCCACAGGTTCTCATAGGATCCATGGACCCTGGGGAACCACAAGCACAGGAGGTGTAAGCCTTGCGACTGCGGCTTCCTGCCTCTCCTAGGCCCACAATCCATCACACCCCAAAGCACCTTCTAAGCCACCCTTCCACTGCACCTGCACTGCTCCTCTGCTTCGCATCACATCTTCACTCGCCTGTCAATGTCAAAATCTGCTACAGCCCTGCTGTTCCCAGGCCCAGACCCCTTCTCCTCTAGTGCGGGCAGCAAAGGACAAGACAAAGGGGCAGAGGCTCCATCTCCGAAGCTCAACCCCACTGTCCCAAGTACTGATATTCTGCTAGCCTTCTGCGTCCCTGTGCTCGGACACCTGCCCATTAGCCAGCCTCCTTCAGCATGATGCCCAGCACCACATGGGAGCGGCAACTGTTCCCTAGGACTGCAGGGCGAGCAGGACTGTGGTACGCAAGTGCTGCTCCTCGCTCCCCTGCAAAACGGCAACAAACCACTTGTCTTGACTGAATGTTCAGAAACATACATGGAGGCATCTTCGTGCTGAGACTGAGGAATGAGGAGGACCTCTCAGGAGAGTGCTAGGAAATAGGGGGAGGGAAAGGGAGGCAGGAGGGCAAACCACAGTCCTAAAAGCACAGTGTCCACACCAGGACCCACAGGACTGGCTGTCAGACCCTGAGGACTGTACAGGGCTCTGCTGCCCAGGGCAAATATGGCCCCTGGGGGCAGTCTGGGTCTGAAGCCACCTCTATACCATACGTACTTAGCATAGGCCTTTTCCAGTAAGGGAAGCCAGAACACATCCTCTCTCTGGCACCGGGAGAAGCAGAGTCTCCCAGCAAGGCAAGGCAGACGGTCATCTATGGTCACCTCCTCCCAGTGTCCAAACTGCCAAATTCGACAGGTGAAGAAACCTTGGTACTTCTGGTCAGACCAGCTTGGCTGTCCTGGAGGGAAGACCTAACATGCACAAGGAGAGGCCAGACAGACAGCATGACATCAGCAT